GCGGGCCCGGGAGGCAGCAGGCTCGGGGGCTCAGGCGTTTCTTCTGTTCCAAACAAGGGAGGTCTGTTCAATACAAACACTCATCCATGGTCTGCTGCACCACGGACCTCTGTCACGGCACGCAAGGGGCTTCCCCGCCGCGGGGCTTCCCTACGTCCCGTGTCCGCCCTGGCGGGGCACTACGGGCTGCGACGTGGGAATACACATGGTCTTTGAGCTCTTAAGATCCATCTTTTGCTGAGGGCTGGGCAGTTTGAAGCCCTTAGCACTTCTATAACCAAGGCTTGTTTTGGAAAATTTCAACTTAGAAAAAAGACTGAAATATATTCTCTCTCTCTCTCTCTCTCTCTTCTGCCCCTATAACAGAAGACTACAGGAACAGGGACAGAAATCAGAAAAACACCTATGAACAGATGAGGAAAAAAAGAAAGCAGAAAGGCAATAGGAAGATATGAGGGAAAAGCCTGATGATAAATGGTAGGAGCAAAATGAAGAACCTAATGGAGAGTGCAGAGGAGGCCTAGAGCTGAGAGCTGAACAAAGGACATTTTCAAGAGGAAAATAACTGACCAAATTACATTAAGTCATTTCTAAGTTCTCTGCTTGCCAGCAGGAAGGTCCCTGTGCGCTGCCCACCCCCCTCCCCATCGGGCCTCATCGGTTCAGGAGTTTCGGCAATAACAGCGCAGCTCCACAGCACATTGGGAGCAGGTTGCCTATTTCAGATCTATACATCAGCACTGAACACAGATCTGGCCGCCCAGATTTAGCTGGGGTCTTTGCCACAAACTGGTGAATAAGACTTTCCCTCAGTTGTATTCTGCGATGCATTTAACTTTTATACAAGGAAAATTTCCAGCAATAAAAATAAGCATCTGTGACCAAAAAGTGGCAGAGAAAAGAAGTGAAGATGATATTTACTTCTTTCTGCATATATGCGCTCTTTGGGAAATAGATCTCTAATGAGCTGGAGGAATTCTGCACAGGTTTTGCTAAGCACTGCAAATATTTGTTTATGTTTGTTGGATTCTTGCTCTGGTTACAGGCAGCTTGAATGGATGTCTGCACACTGGAGGGTGGCAGGGAGCCAAATACAGTCAGAAGAAAGCCCATGGTAAAGTATCTGGTATTAATAGAAAATCTCCAAATTAAGTTTATGAGAAGACAAACCTGGCAAAATTGTTACATTTGTGTGCAAATCAAATGCAGGCAGGATATTAGTTACATCCCAAGCTAAGATGGACCTCTGAGGCTCTGTGGTTTGATACACACTGGATCAAAGACCGTCTCTTCTTTCGCATGTTATACCACGTAATGCAATTCCTGATCTTCCTGAGGACACCACCCACCAAGGTCACATTTAGCAGCCTGGTTGAATGAGCAAAACTGGGGGATTCTTGGCTCTGCTTTAAAACCTGACTAGCAGTTTGAGATGCCTACAAGAGAAGTATGTGTGAGGTACCTGAAACACTGCCCACAGCCCCAGGGTGAATCCGCTCCCACTGCGCCTCGTTCTGCACTACTGCTTGCTGCATGCCCTTGTCACAAAATACATCTATTTTATATATTAAGCCACTATACTAAGTTCTAGCACAGGACTCTTCCTCATGCGGTGGGGAATGGTGAGAGAACAGGAGAGCCAGCACTTGTTCTCTGCCCAGATCTTCCTCTAGCCTGTGCTTGAAGCATATGGCACACTGCTATATACCAGCTCCTTCCAGCTAGTGCTGTCGCTTACCTGCATGGACAGAGAGATTTCTAATTTTTCAGATCCCTCAGAAAATATATTATATGTAGTTCAACAGTGCCCATCAGTTGGGACAGCATTTCTCTCAGTGTTGCTGCAAAAAAAAAATAGCTGTCCATATACCTACTAAAGTGGTTACCCACAGGAGACAAGCTGTGTCAAGACCCAGAAAGTCTGTTGTTAAGAACCTTCCTGAACTTTTCCTGCCAGCTTTGAAACTCAACAGAAGGATTCAACTAAAGGGAAAGGCAGAAGACTTTATTACAAAGAATAAAGATCATGTTGTTTAATTTAAAGCTTTAAAGCACACACCACCACCACTAATGACCACTAAAAAGTAGCAGCAATCTGAGTTTCCTGTACCCATATGCACAGACAGTAAAAGAAAATTTACAGCTAAGTTCTGCCTTCGTCTGTGCTCACTTCAGTCACCCTTACAGTGCAAGAATAAATGTTGTATAGCTATAAACATAACCGTATAGTACACAGTTATTGATTGTATAAAGACATGCATAGTTAAAATTTCAGGGACCCCACCATGAATCATGGTGATGTTCTGGAAGGTGTATTTGTAAAACAAATAGAGGTGAGTAAGAAGGACCCTAGACCTGAGGAGCTCCCATGCTAAGAAGTGGCAAAACTCAAGCAACAGAAGAGGGAGCAAAACATAAATGTGACTATAGGTATGAATAACACAATCTTCCTACAAGGACTTCTATTAGTAAGGATTTTCTAGCTGTGATAGGTCCAAGGTGTAAAGCCATGGCAGTTTTGGCTGTTTTATATCGCAGAAAAATTACTTTGATGGGCTTACAGACCCACTGCCCTCCCTTGCAAAAACCATGTATATAATTAGGCTCCACGTTAATTTTGTTTGCTCTACCCAGCTTCATAATACTCTCATCCCCATGAGTGGAAAAAATCTCAACCCAAGAATAGGACTGTCATAGTTTTCTGTGAAATGTGAAGACCCTGCCTACCCAGCGAGCTCATTTACACGTCTTATATGGAAACTGCTCTTTCAACATCTTTAGCAGCAAGGAAAGTATTCAATAACAAAGGAAGACAAAATGAAAATGTCCCTATACAGGACTTGTCTAAGTCGTGGTTGAAAATAGAGTTGACTTTAAAATAGAAATGTTTTAGCATTTTAACATTTCAACTGTTATTAAAGACAAGATAATTTGTTAATATAATTCTAGAAATATAGATATAAATAAGGGAATATAGCGGTAATGATTTATTTTAAAAATAATACATTTTAGATAAGCTGCTGTAACATTTTTTTCTTCCTTTTTTAATTTTAATTTTAATTTTTTTCCTTGCAGGCCCACTTTTTGAAGTGGGAAAATCTCATTGGAGCCAGCCCAGCGCAACCCTCCTAGGGCTCCCTTCAACCTTTGCAGAATGCCCCAGCCACAGTGGAAGTTCTGCTGGAAAGAGCTGCCTCCCCGCTCAGTTTACAGGATTTTGCTGCAAAAAAAATGACATGGAAACCACGAAAGGGAGTTTTGCCCTGGGATCACCAAGGCATAGGTTTGGTGGGCCGGCCGCTCCGCCAGATGAAAAGGACACACAAGGAAAGTGATGTATCATCTAACATGCCTCCTCCATACTGCACAGGTATTAATCTCTATATTTATTGTAAGGTACAGAGGTGCTTTTTCCCTTTTAAGTAAGTTTGGGCAGTCCTTGGGAAAAGTGCATTTTGAGAACCCTAGGTCAAAACCCTCTGTGGCACAAATCCTGTTGTAACTCTCTTGTGTTTCACAACCCTCCTTTAAAGCACTAAGGTCAGAATTGACAACGCATGTATTCGCTTCTTAAAAACGTGTCTTAGGAAGCTTCTTGGTGCAAAATGGAACAGACCAAAGTTGAGCGGAAATGATTTCTCCTGCATTCTGATGGAAGACAAAAGATTTCAGCCAAAGTCTTTTTCAAATGTCTGTTCCGTCAAAAAGACCTAATACAAATGTGAAAGTGTTCCATGCCAGAACCTGCCATCATAAATAAATAAATAAATAAAGGGATTTAAAATTAGCTGCTGTCCAAAGAGCTTGACAAGAGCACAAGCCCTGGCGGGCTGCCTAGACAGCGGCCTGCAGGGTTTGCCTGGCCGGAGGAGACGCGTCCCGTCCTCTGTGCCCGGCTGAAACGTGGCTACCCGGGAGCAGGACCTGACCTGAGCCCTCCATGGCCGGAGGGGCAGCGCGTTACTGCTAGAAACACCACAGAAATGGCAAAGCCCAGGAAAGCAACGGAGCATGTGGAGTCTCTGAGCAGGGAAAAGGAGTTTTGCTTCTTATGTGCAAATACTTCAGACATCTGATGTGCGCATATGTGCATGCATGGGGGATAGGCACCTGCCTAAAGATTGCATGATCTGCTCTCTGATTTATTAGGTAAGAAAAAATCCGAAATTGGGACACAAAAAGAGTGGTTTATTTTCTTAGATTGGTGTTGGGTCCCATTTTGATGAGAACATAAAAGTGCCAGTAAATTTTAAAGGATGGAACACTTCAGTGGCTTATAAAATAGGTTTATAAATAAACGGCAGCTTATAAAGTACAATAAACACAAACAGGGCTATTTGGGGCAATTTTGCCTCTATTGCCTTTCACTTGCAGAATTCCAGAGTCCTAATACTTCTAGTTAATGTTAAAAACACTCTGTGCTCTCCTACAGGGAAGGAGAAACTGAGGCACAGAGAAGTTAAGCAA